CTGAGGATGAACTTTATCTTAGGGGGGAGGAAATTTCACATCCTGTTGATTTTAAACCTGAATGAGGAATATAAAATAGATCATGGGTCAAGCAGGGTAGCTAATAGATAGACAGTACAACTTTTGAACTAAAATTAGACCGGGACCAGATTGTCATTTTTAAAATATTTGGTCAATATTGAGCAAAGTAGGAATAGAGGCTTGAAATTCTAGAAAATCCTTAGAAAATCATGAAATGTACAATAAAGGGTACATAACACATTTGAGGCATGAAAGATGAAAATAATTTATTCTAAAATTTTCTTTATTTTCTTGAAATTTTGGCTAATTAAAAAATTGGTCAAATTGAATTATTTAAAATATATAGGGGCCTCAATAATTCATAAAAAATTAGAAAGATTATTTGAAAGATTATTATGAATTTTTAAATTATTCCCAACCTCTGAAGGTATGAAGGTTAGCTTTAAATTATTTAAAACTGAAAATTATATCAGTAAAGGGCCGATTATGGAAAATTTTAATTGAAAGAGTTATAGGGTAAAATAAAATATTATAAAATTAGAGGAATCTCTCCTCATCAAAAGGAAGTTATTGACATAACCAAATGAATTTTTAAGACAGTGCATTTAACAGGATCTGAGAAAAATTCAACCAATATCGTGAAATTATACAGTGCAATAGCCGTAAGTTTGGTGGGGCCCAATTTTTGTCCATTCTTATGACCTATATGGTGCCATTTGAGGAGGGTGAGGACTTAGATGGAATAATACAATTTGTTAAAGGATAGAATTGGAAGATTGGAATTATGAATAAAATATATAGATTTTTACACATGGAAGTTTATGTGTCCCATAAGGTGGCATCCTCATTCAATTAGGTAGACACCTAAGAGGGAGCAATGGCGTGTTGGAAGGAAAGGAGAGGAGAGATGAAGCCATGTGTCTCTAGGTGAAAATCAAGAGTTAATTAAGTTAGCACATGGTAAGTTCAAGGCAAGCTCTATATATACAGCTTCCTCTCTTCACAAGTCACTCTTTTCGGCCAGCTAGGGAAGCTTGAGAGGTAGAAGGGTTTCGGCCAAAGGAAGAAGAGAAGGAGGAGATAAAGAACAAGTTGAACTCAGGTGATTTCAAGCCACTAATCAAGGTAAAAGCATGATTATCCCATCTAGTGTTTAATTTCCTATAGATTGATGGTTTTAAACTTATTTTTAGTGAAGTTTGATGATTGGAAATCCCAAGGGTTGGTGCTGTACAAATGAGTGCTTGATGGTTTATGATTGATATTAAATTGTTATATGAATTAAAGGATAGAAAATGATTCTTTGATTATAATTAAACCTTCTTGTTTGAAAGATATCAAGCTGTGCACACTTGGGACACTGTTCAACTAATGGAAAATGGTGTCTGAGGGTTTGATTTTTGTTATTTTGATGCTTCCAATGGATTTAGAAGGTGATTTTGTGTAGGGATATATGAATAACATGTGTTTGGAAGCATTAAAATTCAAAATAGAATTTTAGGAACCCTAGAGACCATTCGGCCAAACTAAATTAGAACAGAAGGAGTTAGATTTTGATAAACCTAAATTGAAGTATAGATTCTACATGAAAAATTATGTAGAAAAAATCTATAGGAATTATGTTAAGAATGATGATGCTAAAACCCTAAATTAAAGGTTAAAAGGGTACGGTTTTAGAAAGTATTGTGTATTGGAATGGTGTTATTGATTTGGAATGTATTTATTCTTGTTGTTTGATAGGCAATATTATTAACCAAGTGGAAGACCAAAATCAAGGAAGGAGGCTGTGTGAATCAAGGATATAAGAGGTAGCTTAGAACTTACAATTTAATGTTATCTTGCTTGGTTATTCCTTTGTAAAATTTCTTGATTATGTGTCATGTTGTGGTTGAACTTGTTTGATGATAATGTGTTGATTTGTTACATTGTATGCCTTGGCAAAATGCACTAATACATTGATGTTTGGAATGGTTTAATACCCTCTTTTATGGCATGAAAGTTAGTTGAATACTTTGTAAAATTACTTGTAACATGCCTTTTTTGATTGATATTATAATTATAATTCTTTACTACTGAGATTTCTATAAAATCTAATTCCTCCCTATGTCCAAATAACACCAATAGGGGCTGTAAGTTGTCTTGGAAAAGGCAAGGAGGTGGTCATATCTTAAGGAATACTTTGATAACACTTTGATGAACTTTATGTTATACTGTTGTAATAATTATCAAATAATGTATGGTTGACTAGTTGAGACTTGTTACCTATGAGAATATGCTTGATGTATGCTATGAATTACGGTTCAAATGTGCTTGAGCTGCTAAAGTTGAATTATGGCAAATTGAACATCTAAAGGATAAAAGTTGACATAAATTGAGCCAATATTTGACTACAACTAATTTTGAGCAAATGAAGGAATTTGGTCATGAAATTTGGTAGATCAATAGATCTCATTTTTAACTTTAAAATGAATGATAACTCATAAAAACTAAAGTTCTATACAAAAAGTCATGACTTTTTAAAGTTAGGCATAAATTTTGAAAAATTAAAAAATTGACCAAATAAACAATACACTTTAATGAGGGAATGGAGCACAGATAAGCTGATATCACAATCTAGTAGTTTTTTTCCCTTGAAGATCTCATTGAAAGCTTCAAGTAGGACTTAAAACTATATCATTTTGTTTTTTCTAGAATTAGTTATGATTTTTCAAAATTGATTAAATTTAGAGTTATAATGAATAGTAACCCTAGAAAAAAAAATTCAAAATTCAAAATTTTCTCACTTAAGGATTTATTTAATGGCTCCAATTGTTTCCACTTGACATAAAATTAGGTGGTAAATTAAGGTGTTACACAAGCCAAGAACTACTTTTGATATTCTAAGAATCTCCCTAATTAGGTTAAGAGCTTGAAAACCTAGAGAGAGTTGCCATTCCCATTCTAGAAAGATCCCATTTTAAGATTCCCTCAACTCTTATCCATCTCCTACCTCAAATCCACCATTTTTACTTCATTTATTCACCATTTTCCTTTTTTTGAAGTAGTTAAACATACAACCATCATTTCCATATCATTTTCTATCCCCATTTCATCACATATGGCTATCAAGAGTGTCATAACTAAATGGAGCAAGCTTAAAGCTATGTGTGGCTGATTTCCTAGCTCTTTAGTGATGGAGATTGAAGCTTCAGCTCAATAGACTACAAGAGGGAATTTTGTATTTCAATCATTGTAGTTACATGTATTAGGGTATCTAAATTTAGGATTCTACTTCATGTAAAGCTAACTTGGATGACTATTTAGTTTATCTTTGTGATTAAATGCTTGTAAATGTTTTACATGATGTTTTGCTGGTTTTAATGATATATATATTTGTGATTCTTGATTCTTATTAATTATCAATGTTTATTATCAATTAATCTAAGAGTTTTGAGTTCTTGGATGTGATTAGCATTCAAGTAGTAAGCATTGCATCATTCCATTTCATTTACACACTAAGTGTTTTTTAATAAAGATTTGAGAGATGTTAATTTATTTTGATCAAATTGATTTTCATTAATTACATCTTTGGATCTAAATGATTGTTGAGAGTTTGCTTAAGACTTAGTGAGTTTAACTCCCATATCTTTCAAAAGAGCAAGGACACCAAAGACACTCATCATACATCCCCTAAATCCAATCAATTTCATTCACTATTTTGAAAAGATGAAAAACATTTATTTCATGCAATTCAGGTTTTCATTTGTAAAAACTTAGAGATTCTAATAAGAAATCAACCATTTCCAAGGCAACCAATGTTTTATGCACTTAATTTGTCTAGGAACTAATAACAAGCTCCTTGAAAAAAATGATCCCGTGTTGCTTCCTATACTACATTTATAGAGTGTGCAATTGATTTGCATTTGACCCTAAGGCAACTAAGCAGCATTCAAATCACAATCTCAACTGAGAGATAACTCTAAATGCTTTATATACATTTGGTTGATCCCGCTAGAATTAAAAGTTTTGGAGGAAACTTGTACACTCTAGTAATACTTGATGTTTATTTGAGATTTACTTGCACTTTATTCATTTCTTCCAAAGGCAAACTTTTAAAGCATTTGTTGTTTTTGCCTAAAAAGTCTAAAATAATTAAGGTATTTATATTGTATCTATAAAACTGATCATGGAGGAGAGTTAGAGGACAACGTATTTGCTTATTACTATGGTGAACATCGTATCAATTATAATTTCTCAACTCCATGAATTTATGAACAAAATGAATTTGTAGAAAGAAGGAAGAGTTCTCATTGATATAACAAGAGAAATGTTCAATGGAAAAAAGAGTATCATAAGTTTCCAGGTAGAAATCATGAGCATGGCTTGTTATATCTGTAACAAAACATGTATTTTACTTGAGAGTAACTTATTGCTCAAGTTCCTACTCAAGTAAAAGAATGTTTTTCATTCTAAGTGAAACCTATTTTTAGAGAGTACTCATCCGGTCCTTAATATAGGACCCACTTGTTGAGTTAGTTTTGATCTTAAATATAAGATTCATTTCTCATATTTATTAATTTTCTCTAAATTACCCTCATCGATACTACCTCAACCATAATCAAGTAGAAAAGGGAGAGAATGTATTAAGAAAGATAATTATGGTATTCTAAGAAAAACGTGCCATATTTTTTATAATTAACTAACTTATCTAATTTCTTTAATCTGATCAAATTAGTTAAATATATCTTATATTAAGAAGTAGAAGAGTAGCTTAATAGGATACATAATCGAGTACTACATAATCCTTCAAGTAAATGAACCCCTGAACTAATAACGTCCCCCCCACCCCCCAAATAATGTATTTAAAAATCTAAGAAAAAGAAAGGGTGGAATATTTTGACCTAGAGGGGGAAAGCTAGTGAGAGAAGTGGTGGGATTTTCATGGATTCCTTTTTATGTGAGCTAGAGGCTGACTGACGGCTATTCTCCGATGGGGGAGGAGGTGAATGGAAGGGATCACAACGCGAAGAAGGCTAGGGTGGAGGAGCGTGGCTCCTCGAGTCTGGTTTTTCTACCTCCGAGAGTAGAAGAATGGATAAAGGATGCTGGTGAGGAAAGAAAAGGGAAGAGCTCCCCAATGTCTTATCGTGGTTCCTTATTGCTCAAGAAGTGGCGGAAATACTGGTTTCTGCCTGATGCGAATGACGAGGAAGGAGAAAAGTCTGGTTTCAGAGTTGGCATGGATTTAGATAATGGAGTAGATCCTCAGTCAGGTATCTCTGTTGATCTTGGTGATCTGCTTTGTCCTATATTTACTCTATCTGAGCGAGAGACGGAAAGACTTTGCAAACCTTTTGCCAAGTCTTAGATTGTCAAACTTCTTGGTCAGTCAATTGGTTATGGTTTGTTGGAATCTAAGCCAAGATAAATCTGGTCGAAGAATGGGGATATCAGGTTGGGGGATTTGGAGAACGACTTCTTTGTCATAAAGGGCTTTGACAAGGGGGCCATGGGTTGTGTCAGATTGCTGTCAGAGTGTGATGAGATGGAGGCCCGCTTTTAATCCGATTACAGAAACCATAGATGGAATTGCTACTTGGGTCAGGTTTCTAGGGATTGATGTTAAACTCTTTGATGAGAAGGTCTTATACAACATTGCTTGCTCTATCGGAAAAGTTTTAAAGCTGGAAGTTCACATGGCAAGTAGAGAACATAACAAGTATTTGGCTAGATATTACTCATAATGTGTGCTAGGAAGTCAGGAATAGAAGAAAAGTGAGATTTTGGATCAATTGTTGGTTGAAAAAGGAAGGTAAACTTGCTAGTACATTTTTGGGTGCGGTAGAGGACTTGAATTTGGATCTAAGAGTTAATGAGGCTTACACTAGAGAAGGCCTGTGGAATTGGGACTGGTTGCAGTCAGTTTTACCTACTGAGATGATTCTAAAGATTCAAGCTATTCCCTCTCCTTGTATAGAAGATGGAAATGATAGGTTGGTGTGGCAAGGTGGAAGGAGTGGCAATTACCCTGCTGCTGAGATGTATACACTATGCAGGGGCTCGGCTTTGGAGGATCAGGATGGGATTTGGAAGATTGTGTGGAAGCTAACAGTGACTAGACGTATTCAAGTCTTTACGTGGCTTGCTATTCAAGATCGTCTGCTCATTGCTAAGAGACGATGTAGGATGCTGGGGGAGATACGAAGTGTGTCTGATGTGAGTTTACAGATCAGGATCTCAAGCATGTTCTTCGTTACTGTCCCAAAGCTAGGAGGATCTCGCATGAGCTGGAGAAAGTTGATCTAGCTACCAAATTCTTCACTGACCAGAGTAGGGATGGTTCCTCTTAAATTTGTCAAAAAAGGAACTTGGAGTGTGACTTTCCGTGTGTGCTGTTCGTGGCCTTGGCGTTGGCGGCTTTGGCATTGGCGGAACTGTGAGATTTTTGAAGAAGGATTTGTGCTACTAGAGAATCCTACTATAGTTGTGACGAATTATGTTTGGGAATGCCTGTCTTCTGCTAGGTTGATAATTATGGCACACGCAAAGAAAATAAAGGCATTAAGTGGCAATATCCTCCTTCTGGTTGGGTCAAACTTAATTTTGATGGTGCAACTGGGAATGAGACAAGTTTAGCAGGTTGTGGGAGCATCTTGAGATCGGATAATGGTAGCTGGATCACGACTTTTTCGAAAAACTGTGATGCTCTTTCTGCTAAATTATCGGGTGCTATTCTGGGATTTAAATTAGCGCAGGAACTAGGAATTAGTAAGCTTGTAGTGGAAGGTGACTCTGTAGTGATACAATATTCGATGGAAGCATGGAGGCGCGAGGGAATTTGCTGTAGGATTATAAACTCTTGGATGAGTGAAGCTGATACGAATATGCATATTTCTTTTGTACATACCTACAGAGAAGAAAATTTTATTGCTGATTTCTTAGCTAACACTGGTTTGTTGGGTAATTTTGGGTTGTATAGGTATCATACACCCCCTACAGGCATGGTGAATTTGCTATTTGGAGACGTTGTGGGAGCTGCTCTCTCAAGATTTAGCACAATTGATTGATAAGATGGGTTGGGCGTGATGCCCCGGTATTTACCCAAAACAAAAGTTTTTTTTCCCCCCCATATACTAAGTGATCAACCACTTTACCCGAAGACATACTTGAGCAAACCTCTACTCAGAGAGTTATTTGAGTAAGAGTTTTGTTTTCAATTTGTTACTCGAGCACCTACTCGAGTAATATCAACAAAATTTGCTTATCAGATTCTGATCCTGATTCGATTCATTGATTTTGAGGAAGATACTTCAAGGAAAATGTTCCTAACTTGCGATTATATGTTATCAACTACTAATGATCTACTTTGGAGTATGATTTGTACAAGATTATGCCACAACGAAAAAAATGATGTGGGTGATTAGCTTACGATTAGAAGCATTTAATGTTCTCAATTGAAACTCGTGACCTTCTAGTTAGCTATTAAAATATTTCAAGAATTGTTGAAGTTTTATTTTTAATAAATTACTTTATAAGGTAAAAAACATTTTTATTGTTTGTTAATGTTGTTGGTACTTTTGGGTTATTCTTGTATGTCTGTTTTATGTTTGATGAAAGTTTTTCACTAATTCCTAGTTTTTGAACTAAAACAGTCAAACATACAAAGTCATTTAACAACATTTCCAAATACCGAATTAATCTAGAAGGACTCATTTCATATTTTTCATATATTTTAAAGATATTTTTCTCATTTTTTTCTATGATTCATGAATGTATTTCTTGTGCTTGAGAGTTACACTATAAGTTAGGGGTGTTTACAGGACCAGGACGGGATAGGGTTTTAGTCTCGTGTCCCGTCCCGCCTCGATCCTGTCGGAACCGGGACGGGACGTCCTGTTTCTCCCCTTTTTTTAAAAAAAATACTACAATTTTTCATATGAATTTTTTATATTATAATGATTATCTTTTTATTGGATTTTTAAAGATAAAAATATTATAAAAAATATTACATAGAAAGCTCAATTATATAATGTCAAAAAGGTGTAAAAACAATACTGTAAAAAACATACAGTAAAAGAAACATTATATAATAGTTTTATGAATTATTTTATTGAGAAAGGAGATATTGTTGAAATAATACTACAACTTAAGAGCTAAAAATCACTATAAAAATAATAATTATTATTAATAAGTAAATTGAATAATCTAATAATTATTATTAATAAATAATTTTTTTAAAAAAAATACCTTGGGATGGGACGGGACGGGACGGGAAATTTTTTTTGTCGCGTCCCATCCTGAACTGACCAGAACCAGGACGGAATAAATTAAACACCCCTACTATAACTCAAAGAATAAGAATTATAAATATCAAATTGGAATATAACCATTCTAATTGAATACAAAAACTAACATGCCATAAACTATTTACAATTCATCAACTAATAATTTCGATGTAGCCATAGCCTAAGATCTGATAAGAGGAAAAGAAGCCAACATAAGAGTAAAGCCCAATCTTTTTCCAAAAGAAAACAAATCAAGGACCCCAAATTTCATAGAGAAAAAGAAATAAATACCTTCAAAATTATAAAAATCCCAAATCCTCGCTTCAAATTTCACAAAAGCTAAATTCCTTCCCACATACCAATTTGGAATTTCAAAATGTTATCAATTTACTTATATGCCCTTCTTTTCCTTTTCTCCTTCTCTCCTCTTCTTTCTTCCTTCCAGGTCCCTCGTCTTTGCTTCTTCCTTCTAGCTTCTTCATTGCTCCCCCTAAGGATTGAGAAAAGCTTCTCTGAAAATTACATAAATGAGAGATATCATTGCTAATATGACTAAAGGTCTTATCTTTTTCGTATTGGTGAATGTAACCGAAAAATCATGATGCTCCAGACAGGACACTATCGTTGGAGCCAAAAGCAAGAATCGGGCAGTAGTGGCGCGCATAAACTGACCCAGATGAAGAACAATTAAAGAAACCAACATTTTGGGTAGTCATATGGGGATAATGGCACTCTAAAAGAAGAATATTGGATGAATTGTAGAGAACGTGTCGTGGAAAGAGTCTGGCAAGACAAAATTTCGGATTTGAATCAAATGTGTGGAAGATGTGAGATTTATAGTCTATGCCGCCTTAGAAGGAATAGAGGAAAACTCAACCATTAATGCGGAGTCATTATTATAGGGATGGAATCGAAGAGTTTAATGATGAGGTACATGCTGTTTCTTATCATTCCCCTGTTTCAAAAGGAGCACCCATACCTGGGCTATCACCACCAGCAAATATCTGCCATACCAATACATTGTAACCAAATGATTCTTTGGTTTTTTTTTTGGTGGTTACTAACATGAGAAGTATGGTTTGTAATCAATGTAGAGTTGTTAATAACTATACTATTGGTGTTTCCAGTAACATGTTATATTCAATCTATTTGTGCAATGCATTGTGTTTTGTGCATAATGTGGAATAGTTTCATTTGCTTAATTCCTATGAGCTTCAAGTTTTTGGTGTTTTTTAATTTGACATTTTCTTAAAATTGTTTGTTTCATGGACTTGGAATTAATTACTAACTTTTTCTACTCTAGAGAATGTGATGTGCATGCGTTGATATGGTTTGGTTAAGCAAATGGGATCTAGATATAGCATTAGAATACACAAACGAATGAGTGACTGGTTAACTATAATAGAAATTGTAAAAAGTTTGAAGCTTTGAAGCTGCTTAAACAAGAAAACATGGAAAAAAACAAAAAAAAGTGACAACACTTGTCCAAGTAGTGAGTAGGGTAGTTACTGGTAGGATTTATGTGATAATAATATATGAATTAGACATTTACTATTGTATCAAACCTTTTGCTAATTATGTAGTATTTTATGACTACTTTTATTTGAAAGCCTCCTGTGTAATATTTATTGGTTAATAACAATAGGAACAACAGGAAATTCATAACAAAGCACACCAATTGCTATCACATAAATATATTGATAACTTTCTTAGGTGTGTTGACAACTCCTCCAAATAATTAACAATACTTTTATATGTATTAATAACAAGTAATCAATAAAATTCATTAAGACTTTGTCAGAAGCATTGACAATTCTTTTAAATAGATTAACAACATTTATATATATACATATATATATTAACAATAAGTAATCAAGAAATTCATTATCACTTTGTTAGACATGTTGACAACTCTCACAAATGTGTGTGTATATATTCGAGTAAAATCTCTTACAAATACATTAACATTTTTATATATATTGACAGAAAGTGATCAGGAAAATTCATTATGAGACAGACCATTAGACAAATTTAAACAAATCACATGCTACCAACTGGCTAGCACCATTGACAAGATAGATTGACAACAATTATATATATGGACAATAAGTAATCAGCAAATATTATTACAGGGCAAATCAATTGGAAAACTTAAGCGTAACTTTTTCATTGACAATACCTTTATATAAATGGATTATCCTCACTCGCTTTTTGTATTTTCTTTCTTTTTATCAATTTATTAAGGACAAGCTTGTTTTTTTACCAATATTTGAAAATGCCAAATCAATACTACTGCTGCAACATGACCTTTTACTTTTCACCAAAACTAGTATGATATTTTATATATTTAAGGAAAAATTAGAGATAAATCTCTTATTAAAAATTTATTTGGTAAACGAGACTTTGAATGATTGATTATACCAGGAAAAATTAATTACACATAAAAGAAGGTAGTTTGTATAAAAATTACTGAATATAAGAAATTCATTTGCATATAGAGAACATGACTAGTACATAAAATAATTTTATTTGCACAAAGAAAAATTGTGTTGCACATCACACAAAAAAAAGATAAATTACACACAAAACAAGTTAAGCTACACATAATAAAAGTTAAATTGCACAAAATTCTTAATTCCCATTTGCTAATTAAATTTCCAATGAGAGATTTATTCCCAATTTTTCCTATATTTAAAGGCATTTTCTTGTCCTTCTCCCAATTTCATATAAACACTTATACACGAGAAGATAATTCGATTTCTATTTAAGATTCGAGGAATGTAGTGTAGGTCAGACTAGCGACGCCATATTGTTTGAGCACAAATACGTTTATATTTCTATTAGTTGCAAAAAAAAAAAATGCGTGAAGACGGGGGAAAAAACAACATGCCTATGGAACCGTATTGCTTATTTCATGTTTTCCTATTAAATTATTATACCACAATATTTAGAGAAGTTACCACCACCACAAAGTAACAAGCTACCTGACTCTACTCTGGTCTTCATCAATACATTATCAGTCAACAAATTCTCAGCAGATGGACTGTAATCATACCGATCAAGATCGTAGTAATTTGATGATCTTACATTGGACAATTTGAGCACATTTTTGTCGAAGTTCTTGATGTACTCTTGAATGCCATGATGAGGATCAGAGGTTTCAAATGGCTTCTTTGCAAAGGAGAACTGGAATTTGGAACCACCTGGACTAAATTGACATTGTGCAGATGCCATGATATCAATACTTTGATTCGATCGTGAAACTCCATTATGATTGGTTATGGATTGCTCTGGAGAGCAGAACCCCTGTGAAGATAACCAAATTATTTTCTGAAAAATTTGGTTTTAGTATTTCCTCAATTCTTTTAGGCATTAAGGCTAATCAAAGGAGAAATAACGAAATCAATTGAATTCATCACTATGTTCCAAACTAGATCCCATTTCAGTAATTTTCTTCTGAGCAAATAAATAAATAATGAGAGGCATATACATACATATTTCCTAAGAGCATTTTATGATGGGTGACTAGAGCATGTCATGTTAGTTTCGCAAAGTATTTAAGATTATAACAAAATTAGTCGTAAGCCTGATAAGAAGAAGAGCCCCATAACCAAAACTAGAAATCAAAGCACTTAAACTAACCTCAGGCAAATGGTTTCCGCATGGCACAGGAGACCCAAATAAATTGAGTGGTGGGTCGTCTTGTGATGAAAAGTCAGAACCATCAAATGGGGATAATGATACACACTCATCAAAATATGCCAAGGCATCTTCTGCAAGCCGTTTTGACATTTTTCTTCTTTCAATGCTAGCCTGTTAGCATGTTTCGGTCAACTAATGACAAAACAGGTAAAAATAGAGAATATACATCTGCATAGTTTTTTTTTTAAACGGAAATGGATAATTTTCATTGCAAAATAAACTATACAGAGTCATGATTAAATTGAAAGTGGAAAACTTTTCAAAGAATGCCTAACAATAACCCGAATGTTCATCAAAATATTTTCAGCAGTGTAATTCTCACTGGAATAGAGACGGTGCATCCCTGCATAGTTAGTTGCTAAGCATTACATTTCTAATATCTATGGCAGCACATTTTACCCAAAACCCAAATGATCAGATGAATTAAATTTGAATTGTGTGCTCAAGATCTTCGCATCTAAGAACAAACAAATTAGGGAAAAACTGACATCCTTAGTGTTTGAGCAGTTGCTGCAGCAGCGTTTGATGGTTATCAATATACATACACATAAACAAGCTACTGGAAGCCACACCGTCCTTCAGAGCTGTGAATATTGCAGCTTCCAGTATTGGGCTTGTGCATCTAGTTATTTGGAGAAGTTTGTGTGATTAGTAACATTAGATTTCAAAATAACGGCGTACAGTCTATATGATGATTTTAACAGTAGCTGGCCGACACAAATATGTCTTCAAGATATTGGATAGTTTACGTAATATGGTCAATTTTGATGCACAGAAAGATACATGAAATATCTGTCGTGAGAAGCATTCATACACATGACATGACCAGCGTAGTAAGATGCACTAGACAACTAAAAAGGCTAATGAAATGTTACTTTTCTTGATGGACGAGACTTCTGCACATTTGGGGTCTTTGGATACGGAAGAACTTCCTTCAATATTCTATCCAGTTCTTGAGTCCGATGTTCCTCTACAGCCAGGTCAGCCTGGAGTTTTCTCGCCCGCTCCTGGGACTGTGTGTTTATTACAAGGTTGACTTCACAGAGTGCAATTTGAAGACAGATTATTCAAATCACAAAGTACACGGAACATGAAAAGGATTAACACACTCATCCAAGGACACAATCCTACAGTAATTTAGCGACTGCAGAAAAAGGCCATGGTGAGCACACAACTCACCAAAAAATTTTTTTTTCCCAACAAAAAAGTAGGGGGTAGATGATAGAGTCGTTTGTGCTGATCCCCTTAATATTTGCTTTATTTAAAGCAAACAAGCACATCCCCCACTACAAGATAACCGTATACTAAGTAATAGAACAAAAACGGAATAAAAATGTGACAAATTTTCCAGGTACCAGTGCAAAAATTGAAAATCACCTCCTCAAGCTTTTTGGAATACTCTCTTCTAATCTCCAACACCAACTCAACTGCGCCAGGGTTTACCAAGTCAGGAGGAATATCAGCCACATTCTTAATAGCCACAGCAGTAGCATTATTCCTTCGGATAGCCTAAACTTCCGGAAGAAAAGTTAGAGATTAGCCTTCTCCAGTCAGACAAGTAGAATTTCACAGTTGAATTGATCAATTCAGCACAATCAAGTAGTAAGTAAAGAATCAGAAACTTGGATGCACATATAAAACCACCTATTGGAAGAGAAGCTATGAAAGTCAAACAGCCACAGCATTATGAAATCACACTAGGTGGGGTCGACTATATAAATCAGACATCGATGTTGACAAAATCTTTTGATAGATTGTTAATAGAAAGATCTTACTCAATAACTCCATTAAGTGTTCTCTTCATCCTTCCTTTACTCCTTTTCAGAGGATTCCATACTGTTTGATCTACTATGAAATTTTACAAAATAATTAAAAGCACATTCCTAAAACATATGCAGGCATAATACATGAAAGTGAAACCGAGCTGCAGCTCTTAAGCTGAGAATTTTTGTCTTTTAATTTTGAAACACGATCTAAATGAAGAGACATTTTCCTCAAACAAGAAGAATTAATTAATTTACGCCCAAATCTACTTAACATCTGCTTTGACTCTCAATTTTCCTCCAAAAATCAAAAGAGAGACACTACCCACATGACCAACACTTAGCAAGGTAAATGGTAGTGTTTCTATCATAGACATTAAATTTGCTCGTAATTTGGTAACAAGGCCTGGCTTCAAATCAATGCCTGACCCAATGCTCTTGGCATAAATTGGGTGTAAAAGATCATGTTTGTGGTCTTTTTTCTTTTTTGAAAAATTTCAAAACTTCAGAAGTTTATATTCATGACCACTCATTTTGGTACATCTTTACAAATACATACACAGGAAATTAAAAAATGAGATTTCGTTGGCATTTCCTTATCTGGGATCCTAGGGAAGACGATTGAGCTTGCCCTTGTCAACAGCTTGATGCCCTAAATTCCCCCCCCCCCCAAAAAAAAAAAAATTAGTGCAACATTTCACTGTACGAAGTTCAATGCTGGTCATTGCTATGCATCAAAGGAGAAAACACGAAGAAATTGCAAGCATAAAGGGTGAAACCACAAAAAACTATGGGACATGTTAATCTCCAAAAAAAAACAAAAAAAAAAGCATTTACTATCAATTTTTTATTTTGATTTTTTGCTTGTATCTCCAAAAGAACATGTTTTCCGTCCTGCCTTCTTTCATGTAAAAGTGATAACCACACTCGTGAGGGGGTCTAGCAAGGGTATTGACTTCCCAATTACATATAATTTGTGAAATATATTAAAATATTTTTTACTTGATTACAATGGCCCCTGAAAGAGTTCTTGGTAAGCTTACTTTTGCTGCCAACACATACAAAAGGAGACCTACGAGGATATGTGAAGAGAATAAGTTGCCTTTTGTTGGTCAGTTGACTTGGAAGCTCCTACCAGTTTGGAGAAAGGAATAAAGGACTAGGCTGCTATAGGCTTGCTATTAGCTGTCATTTTAGGAAATATAAAGCTCTAGCTCAAGGTATCTATGGGGGAATATGGCTTGTATCCTGAAAGAACTAATGATTAAGTTTGCAGCTCCAATAAAGGTCTGGGGTAACAACACCCGTGTGATGAAGATTGCCGACACTCCTATACACCATGACGGTACTAAACAAGTGCAGATTGAACGACATTTCAGAAAGGAGAAGTTGGAAGCCAAAGTGATTGACTTATTATCATACATCCCTTCAAGAAGACAAATTGCAGATGTGATGACAAAGTCATTAACTCGAGAAGTTTGAGGAGTTCAGAAGCAATCTAGGAATAATCAACATCTATGAACCAGCTTGAGTGGGAGTGTTGAAAGAATGGACCATGCCACCACTGTTGAAGCCTAATTCTAGAAGTTTGAGCTAATTACCCTGATGTTAACCTAACAACGGACGTCAGTATTTTGTTATAATGATAGGAGTTGTTATTTTCCATGATTTTAGGAGGATTATATGAGATCTGATCAGATTCGACCTAGCCCTATTTCCCACATATATAATCATCATCATCATGAATAAAATGCACAGTTTTCTGCTATTCAAAGTTTTAAATTCAAAATTAACCAGATACCTTCGATTTGGAAAAGCCAAAGACAAAGTGAAAAGGTCACGAAACTTACACTCTCAAGGTCATTCTGAATCTCAAAAATAGCACGCCTCACTTCAGAACGAACTGTTTCATATATATCACTAGCTTCCAACATATCTGGCGATTCCGACTGCGGAAAAAAGACAATTTCATGAATTATACCAGAGGTTTTAGTTGTCATTAAGAAACACTTCCTATTGTAGAAGCAGTAAAGTTTCCTACCAGCAAAATACAAAAATTCATGCCAATAAACCATGACATCCAGTGACTATACCATTGGACTTTGAAGAACTCACCTTCATTTGTTCACAAACTGCTTTCATGGTTTTCTCTTCAGAACCACATACTGAACTGGTTGTTGAAAGTGAAGCTGCATCTTCACAGGTTTGTTTATGCAAATGAGACTGGGAGACAAGCACAAAAGGCATCAAGCAAAAGTCAACAAGTAAACTGCTTCATGTAAATATATGTAGCAAGATCAGGTTTAGTACTTAGAACATTGGGACCCTGTATGGTAAACCAAGGGAGGTGGTGGAAGTAAGGGACAAACGGAAGATTAATATTTTGTGCCTCCAAGAAACTAAATACGTTGCAGAGAAGACTTTCAAATTTACTAATGGTTTCAAACTTTGATACACAGGAAAAGTAGGCACAAGAAATGGAGCTAACATTATCGTTGATAATGAATGGAAAAAAAAATGTGGTGGAAGTCAAAAGGATAGAAGACAAAATTATTTCTTTAAGAATAATCATAGGGAAGGATACTATCAATGTGGTTAGTGCGTATGCACCTCAATTAGAACAGAAGACCATCTTAAGAAGAAATTTTGGACAGATATGGTGGGTTTGATTCAAAGCATACCACTTGAGGAAAAGATTTTTATTGGTGGTGATCTTAACAGACATGTTGGTAAATAAGTGGCACAATATATAGGGGCTCATGGGGGTATGTGTTTTGGAGTGTGTAATAATGAAGGGCAAACTATTATTGATTTCTCCCTAGCATACAACCTCAAGATTGTTAACACGTGCCTTAAGAAAAAGGAGGAGCATTTAATCACTTACAAGAGTGGAACCTCTAGGTCGCAGATTGATTTCTTTCTAGTAAGAAATCCTAATAGAAAACTCTGCACAAATTGTAAAGTGATTCCTGGAGATGGTGTGACAGCACAACATAGGGTACTGGTCCTTGATGTGCGTATTAAGTGTATAAAACAAAAGCACCAACAAGTGGCAACCCCAAGGGTCAAATGGTGGCAATTAAAGGGAGAGAAGCGAGAAACTTTTAAAAGGACTCTTTTAAAAGAAAGAGCTTGGAAGCTACAAGAAAATGCTAATCTTATGTGGACGAAAATGACTAAGAAGGTCCAAAAGGCAGCTAAAACCATTTTGGGTGAATCGAAAGGTCATGGTTGATGAGATAAGGAGACATGGTGGTGGAACGAGAATGTGTAAGAAAAAATAGAGCATAAGCAAGATTATGTTAAAGCGATACATTTGCGTAATAATGCTGAAAATTGGGAAATGTACCCTGTAACTAAAAGAGAGACTAGGAGAGTAGTGGGTAAAGCTCGTTCTAAAACTTTTGAGTTCTATAAGGATTTAGGAACCAAGGCTGGGGAATGCACGATTTACAAGATCGCAAAGAATAAAGAAAGAAAAAAAAGAGATTTGGATCAAATGAGATGCATAAAGGACGAAGAAGGTAAAATTGTGGTTACTGATGGTGATATTAAGAATCGATGGGAAGCCTATTTTTATAAGCTATTCAATGATAGGTGCGAAAGATTGACATATGAGCTTGAAGATTTGACAATTGGAGAAGAGGAACATAATTTAGCTTTTTATCAAAGAATTTGAGTTGGTGAGGTTATGGAAGCTCTTAAGAAAATAGAAAACAATAAAACAGTTGGACCTGATGGTATTCCTATTGAAGTTTGGAAATGTTTGGGTGAAGGTAATGTGCTGTGGCTTACTAAGTTATTCGATGAGATATTTTGCTTCAAGAAAATGTCAGATGATTGGTGAAAAGTACTTTAGTACCTATTTATAAGAATAAAAGAGATATCCAGAACTGTGCTAGCTATAGAGGAATTAAGCTCATGAGCCATACCATGAAATTGTGGAAAAAGGTGATAGAACATAGGTTGAGATTAGAGACTTGTATTTCTGACAACCAATTCAGGTTCATACCAGGAAGATCGACAATAGAAGCAATTTATTTACCGAAGGAGTTAATGAAAAAGTATCGAAACCATAGAAGAAACTTGCATATAATTTTTATTGATTTAGAAAAAACTTACGACCATGTGCCTAGAGAAGTGCTCTAGAGAAGAAATGTGTTCGTGTTGCTTATATTAAAATCATACAAGACATGTATAAGAAGGTCACAACTAGGGTTAGAACGTCAGGCGATAAGACAAAGGACTTTTCTATAAGGATTGGCCTACGTCAAGGATCATCTTTGAGCCCATATCTGTTTAACTTAGTTCTTGATGTTCTAACTGAGCATATCAAAGAAGAAATCCCTAAGTGCATGCTTTCTGTTGATGATATTATTGGCTGAGTCAAGAGAAGAGATTACTTCTAAACTTGAGATATGGAGAAGAACCTTAAAATCGAAAGGTTTCCGTTTGAGTAGAAGCAAGATAGAATATATGCATTGCATTTTTTATAAGAGACAAGTTAGAACAAGTTTGGAGGTCAAATTGGGAGATCAAGTCATTCCACTAGTGGAAAAGTTTAAATATTTGGAATCAATTATATAACAAGATGGTAACAATGATGGAGATGTTAATCATAGAATTCAAGCTGGGTAAAGATGGTAAAATTGATGGGGATGTTAATCATAGAATTCAAGCTGGGTGGTTTAAATAGAAAAAAGCGATAAGAGTTATCTGTGATAAAAAAGTACCAAATAAGATCAAAGGAAAGTTTTACCGCGCTGTTATAAGACCAGCAATGCTATATAGCAGTAAGTGTTGGGCTTTAAAGGGACAACATGAACAAAAAATGACAGTTGCCGATATGAGAATGTTGAGATAAATGTGTGGTCATACAAGAAAAGACAAGATCCGTAATGAACATGTACGAAGAAAAGTTGGAATAGCTGTTATTGATGAGAAAATGGTAGAAAACCAATTGAGATGGTTTGGTCATGTGCAAATAAAGCCTTGGGATGTGCCAATAAGAAGAGTTGATCAAATAGTACAAAGTTCTCTAAAAAGGAGTAGAGAAAGGCCGAAGACAACACTTAATGAAGTCACTAAGTGAGATTTTTCAATTAATAATATATTCAAAGATTTGGCTTTAGATAGAGCTCAATGGCGTCGTGAGATCCATATAGCTGACCCCACCTAGTGGAATAAGACTTTGTTGTTGTTGTAAATATATGTAGCAATTAAATAAAAAAGAAGAGTTAGGTACAACTTTTAGATGTTTTCTATGAGGAAGTTTTCTAATACAACAAGACAAATAAGGGATTTTTATCTAACATGACAACGTCTTTCAAAAACAAATTGTCCAAATGTTATATATGTTGATGGGAAAACTACTAAAGAATTGTTATCAAAGTTCGCTCCTTAGATCAGTTGGGTACATACCAAAATTGCAGCTGAATTATCAGAAATGGCAGGAGAGGAATGCTGACTAGACCAAGTCTGCAATTTTTTCATTTGATCGAGCACACCATTGTTGCTTCTGGACAAACCACCTTTGCCATTACTCCCCAATAACTTTAAATTGTTTCCATCTTTAGATTTTTTTATGCTACAATCTTGCTCAGCTTCGCTCTGTAAATAAAACAAATGCAATATGTTGAATCTTTCCCTTACGCATCTTTCCGTGCAAGCTAATAAGTAGGAAAAGCGAAAGCATCCTAAAGGCTTAGCCAAAGAAAGAGAAAAGGAGAAAACACATTCTGATCTTGACAGGGGTGAACTATCACTTTCGTCTCCACATAGGCTTTCTTCTAATTCCATCTATCAATCACTAAAATACTTACAACATTGCCTTACGCACGTATTTTCCCCTATATTTTAACACGGAGCCTAATTGTTTACCAAGCTAAGTGTTTACCTCTTGGCATCAAAATTTCAATCATCAAATTTGGCCCTAAATTTTGAATGAAGATAAGATGAAAGGACAAACGACATTTCACGCGTATTAATACCTCGAGACTAAATTGAAAGAAATGAATGATATGGAGGCCCAAATCGAAAGTTTGCCCACATATATGGCTCCAAAATAGAATTTTCCTTAAGGAAAAACCCAGACCTCAGAAGTCGAATAATGCCGCCTGGAAACAGGAACTTGCGAAGCCGAACGATTGCTCCGGCTAGTGTCCAGTCCGTATAAACTCCGTCCCGCTTCCTTCCTACCCATCATTGACCCCTTACAGCTAAATGCATTATCTCTCGTCACGGATCTTCCCCTCCTATCATATCCACCATCCGAATTACTAGACTTCGCACTAGCAGGATCCAAGGTAGTAGTTGCCGTTTCGTCCAGTTTAGCAGTTCCTTCCCTTTCCATAGATTTGATTTGACCATCTCGAGGTGATGTGCTGCTCCAAAACAAAGGATTATCCCTTTTGTTAATAAACTCAGTAGAAATGTCCAAGCTGGTCCTTGAGAAAGCACTCACACTCTTTGACCTTCGAATCGGAGCTTTCTTGCGCTCTTCTTCTCTGGATTCTCTCGCAGAAGATGCGACACCCGAAGGAGAAGTTAAATCCCTTCTCCTCGAAGAGGATTTGAAGGCAGCAACAGCCATGGCATAAACGGAAAGAAATTGAAAAGGAATAATTTCGAAGCCTATGGAAATTGAGAGAAAAATGAAGGATTAGATTGAGATTTGGAAAAAGAGATGAAGAGACAAAATTCTCCGAAATTGACCAATTGATAGAGCGGAGGCCTCCATCTTGAATGTTGACATTGAATGATTGAAGCCTCATTTTTTATTTTTATAAATATAAATTCTTATAAAGAAGCCTAAAACTATCATATTTTAATTAGATAGGAACAGCTTAAAAATGACAAGAAAAAAATAAAAAAAATTAAAAATTCAAAATTTGAAATTCAAAAACAAGTACTTGCTTAAAAAGGGGGAAAAAAACAAGAAGAAGAAGAAAAGTTTGAAAGTGTGGCCGCTCACCGATTCTTGGGCTTCAACACTAGTCATGGGAAGGAAACCAACCAAGTGGTTGCTAAAATCAAAAGTAACTACTGAGTTAAGAAGCTTTTTTAACATTTTAATAAAAAAGATATAAGTTAACTCTTTTCTTTTGTAACAAATATTTATTAGAATAAGTCTTGGGTGTAAAATGATAAGTTTTGAGTTGGAATTAACAATATGTTTTTTCTGCATATATAATATGTTAATTAATTAAAAATGACAACACTTCATTTAAAAATGACAAATCTTTATTATGAAATAATAAGTATCGAGTTGAAATTGACAACACTTTTTTTCACTATAATAATTATATTATTTATAATTTATAAAAAAATAAAAAAAATCTTTTTAGTTATACTAGTTATATTATTTATAATTTATAAAAATTATTTTAATTTATAATGAATTATATAGATATATAGATTAAAAATATTTATAAATTATACTTTTTTGGTTAATTATGCTTTTGCTTATAATTTATAAATACTTATATAACTCTTTGTATTTGAACTAAAATGTGCAAAAACATCTGGAAGATAAGGTGACTCCATTTATAATTGCATTTAAAATTCGTAGGTAATTGTGTCTATAAATTATAAATTATAAATACATTGTGTGCCTTAAATGCAACTAGTTATATAAATATATAAATTAAAAAATATTTATAAATAACTAATTATAAACAAAAGTACAATTAACCAAAAAGTATAATTTATAAATACCTTTTATATTATATATTTATATAACTCATTATAAACTAAAATACTTTTTATAAATTATAAATACTATAACTAGTATAATTAAAAAATATTTTCATATTTTTTATAAATTAGAGATAAACTATTTTTATAAGTTATAAATAATATAACTATTATAATTAAAAAAACGTGTTGTTAATCTTTACTCGAGACTTGTTATTTTATAATAAGGATTTGTTATCTCAAGATGAAGTATTATTAGTTTTAATTGATTCACATGTTATGAATTAGGGAAAAAAAGTGTTGTTAATCACAACTCAAAATTTGTCATTTCACAATCAACACTTGTTACTCTTAGATAAATTGTTATCACAAGCTGGAGCCAAAAAAAAAAAAAAGATGCTCCCACCAATCCCACCTTCCTCCCTATTTACAAAAAAAAAAAAAAAGTTCCTCCTCCAAAAAAAAAAGGTATTTTTATAATTTTTCTTGGATTTCAATATTTTAATTTGGATTTACTTCCTTTTCTGTCATTTTGAAATGTTAGGTGCTTTAATTGAAATATTGTAATTGCAGGCTTCTTTATGTGGAATTTTTCCAACTGTAAATCACTAATTAGAAAAATGTTTGGTACAAATCACATGTTTATGGGAAGGAATCTCTTTGTTTTTTTTTTTTGGAATAATCTTGTAAAAAGAAGTTTAAAAGTTACTAAATTCTAAATAAGGAATTTTTTAAAAAAATTGTTATTATTTGTAGGTCTAGTGTTGTCAAAACCCATTAAAATGTTATTACCAAACCAATTTAGAATTTAGTAATTTTAAACTTTTATTTGTGGAATTATCCCTTTTTAGGTACAATCACCATCCTAATTATTCTTACGGTGCATTTAGCACCTTACTCTTATTTTTTTGATGCATCCAATTTTTTTAGTTGCATCCACCAGCTTAATCTTTAAAGTGCTAGATGTACTAGGAATAAAATGAGGGTTTTGAATATACAAGAAAAATAATATTAGAGTGATGGATATACTATATAAAAGATCAAGGTGTTGAATGTAGGTTGTGCATAAAAACTTGAAACCCAATCTATCTGGTTTGACCCGAAGCAACCCAACCTAATCCTAACCCAAGAAAAAATGAAATGCAAAGCAAGCAGACCAAACTAACCTCGTTTATTGAGATTGGGTTGGACCGAGTTTTAGGCCAGTATGCTTGATCAATTGGTCCAGTCCAACTCGATACCAGTGAATTAAAAATCGAATTGGACTTGATAGTTGAACTGGACAACCGGACCAATCTAGCTAGTGACTGAAGGATTCCTCAAGTCAGTTCACATGTTTTACTCGTTTTCCTTGTTGAGTCACTTTAAGTTGCTGTGAGCCAGCGTTTAGATCAGAAGCCAACATTAACCCAGGAGCTAGAGCGGCCTTGTAAAAATTAGATGGCCCTATTCCTCTGATAGTCCCCCTCCATTGCTCACTTACATTATCACAACGTCAAGCTTCCACTCAGATGGCAGCTTTAGATCCTCTACTTTGAATCGCTTGTTCTGCTTTCATGTTCAAAGCTTTAAGCATCTTCCTTGGCTCCTGCAACTTTGTCTCACCCTCACTTGCATGTTCACCTTGTTAGGATTAAGGTTTTGATGATAACAAAGTGAGTAATATGTGTTTCAGCATGTTGATCGATCATCTAATCGATCAAAATTTTATCGATAAGCTGATAGATAATAACTCTGTTTAATTAAGTAAACTTAGCAAAAACTTTGATCGATAACGTGTTAGATAATGTGTTGATCGATCATTTGATTGATCATTCTTAGTTGCATATGAAAATCTGGGATAAATTATCGATCACTTGATCGATAATCGGGATACAAATTTGATAGGTGTTTATCAATACATGATCGATAAACTGATTATCGATGAGATGACAGATAAATGGTAATGCACTTTACTCAATCTATATTTTGCTTTTATCACCATTTATCGATCATATTATCGATAATATGATCGAACATAGCCTCATAACTTTACGTGCAGGTATTTATTTCAATGAGTTATCGATCACTTAATTGATGAGAAAATTATCGATCACGTGATCGATAATCAACATATCTTTGTTACATCGTGGCTCTTCAATCACCTGATCGATAATGAGATTATCGATAATATTATCGATAACCACACTTCATGTTTACTTTGTTTTCACATAATATGATCGATAAATCAGCTCTTTGGTTTTACAAGAAAAGACCTCTTTATCGATAACATTATCGATCAACCCTTTATCGATCATCTATTTGATCAACTTACATAGCCTGTGCTTTCACAAAATATACTTTTGCCTATTGTTTATCAATAAGGTTATCCATCATCTATTTATCGATAAAGTGTTCGAAAATTAGTGTTTCAAAAGTTGTTTCTATAACACTCTATTTATCGATAACCTAATCGATCAACAAGTGTTTGATCACTTGTTCAATCATGAGGTGATTTCAGTTTAAACCTTAAGTCTCGATGTTTCTCAAAATTTATCATATATTTCATTCGAGCTTTTCTCAGCCTTCATAAATGTATTATTTCACTATTTAAAGAGTTTCAAAATCAAAAGCAACCTTGATCTTCATTGTCTATGCATCATAGAATGATGTCACTATTTCCTTTTATCGATCATCTGATCGATAAACCGTTGATCTATCACTTGATCGATAATCTTAGTTATCTGGTTCAAAAGCTTTCAGTCAGAATAATCGATAACCTGATCGAGCAAGTAATAATCGAACATCACTTCGATTAAGCATGTTCAGTTACTACCCAGAGCATCTAACAACTGACTGATTCTAACCATAAACTATTAATATTCGTTTATCATTTGTTCGGTTCTATTTTTGATCTTATTCAACAGAGAAAAATTTATTGAATTAATGTATTTTTGCAGATTACGAAGAAAATCCTAACAGCACTCCAACGGTTGTCCAAGTAGCCTGTAACCTACCTTGTTAGAAGCATTAATAGCGGAAACCGTTGCAACTGGAAAAACACGCAACCGGACTCACAACAGCTAGAAGCTCTTCCATCTAACAGTTATTAAATGACCTCAACTATAAAAGGCGCAGAGAGGCATTAAATGAACAGATTGAATACTTGATTTTTACTGTTGCATTCAATACTCTATTCTTCCATAACACCAAGCGTCAGTGATTATCATTTATTCACTCTGTAAGAGAGTTTATTTATTAATCACGTTTGTGTGATACTCAAGGGTGTGGACTCTTGAGTGGGTCTGTAACCTTACGAGAAGTAAGGGGGAGTGATTAAGAGTTTCAATTACTGTATTGAGGTGCCAAGAGCCTGATCTATCTTGGAACATAGTGAAATACTCAGAGGTATTCTGAGGATTGGACATAGGTCAAGTGGTTGAGACTGAACTAGTATAAATCTTGTGTCTTCCTCTCTACGATGAAATCATTCTAAACTCACACTCTCTGTTTCCGATAGTTCTTTGTTTTAATTTCGTAAATTTTTATAACTCTCCCAATTCATCCTCCTCTTGGGTGAGACTGCCACTAACATTTGGTATCAGAGTAGGTCTCTTCAGTAAAGACTTAACAGTTCGAAGAGAGATCCCATGACAGGATTCGGAGACAGTGTGCTACCTGATGGGTGCTCAACGTCCAAACCGCCAAGCTTCAATGGTGAAAACTATACCTTCTGGAAGATAAGGATGAAAATCTTTATCAAGGCGACCGAGTATGGATTATAGGACGTGATAGAGCATGGTAACTATGTCCCCATGAAAAAAGTATGCAAGAGTCCGAGCGAGTTCGATGAAGAAGATAGAAAGTTGGTGACCCTAAATGACAAAGCCATCAACATACTTACCTATCCATTGAGCCAACGAGAATACTTCTGAGTTTCCAGTCTAGAAACTGTAAAAGAAATGTGAGAAGCACCGGAGATAGCCCACGAAGGGACCACCGGTGTAAAATAGAGTAGAATCAACACTCTCACCATAGAATTCAAG